CATACATACATACATACATACATACATACATATACATCATACATACATACTACACACACACACATACATACATACATTACATACATACATACATACAGTACATACACACACATACACACATACACACATACACACATACACACACAGACATACATACATGACATACATACATACATACATACATACATACATACATACATACATACATACATACATACATACATACATACATACATACATACATACATACATACATACATACAACATACATACAACATACATACATACATACATACATACATACATACATACATACATACATACATACATACATACATACATACATACATACATACATACATACATACATACATACATACAGGTTTCCTGTAAAATGCTCAACCAATTCTGGGAGACTGGTGAAGGGTAGGTTGCTTGGTGTTTTCGTCAAGCCGAGTGGGATTTGACCAACCCGCGGCTTTTCCTGATGTAGGTGTGTCCAGAAACGGGGGAATTTTCCCCCAAAAAAATGCAGTGCCAATCGTCGTTATGGAGTGAAAAAGAAACCGTGAAAAAGAAACCAACAAAAACAGTGAACTGGGTATCAGTGGGTATGCCGTGCCAATACTTGAAAAGCAAACTCCAATTTCAATATGTATGAAATTCACCCATCATTGCTGGTAATCGCTTCCCCCTAATCTAAAATTCCAGCCAAACGAAATGGTTTTAGATGTAGTATCGGATTCATTTGGGGGCCCACAAGGTGGGTATTTAATATGATATTGGCTACATATTTGAATAATATCTCCGTTTCAGGATATTTTGACTGTTTGAAACCACCATTTTTGATGGGGCTCTGTTCACTGGGAAGGGATTATACCATTTGATGTCAGTTGCCGACGCTGAGCTGCCGAGCTAAGGAGTGCCGTCACGATGAAACCTGGAGGTGGCGAATTTTTCGGGGTCTTGTTGGCCTGAAACTGCCAGAATTCTTCAATGAAAGGATGAATCAATGGATGAACAATATGAACATGGGTTTGGGCGTGTTGAGATCATGGAAATAGCTATATCTACCTTCAAATCTTGAAAATCTAGGAGTGAACTCTTGGTTTCTAGTCAATTACACATTAAAACGTCCATTTCGTGCGGGGATTTCCCCATGATCGACAGCTCGCAGGAGTGCAGGACATGGCCACGGTGCAGGAAGCAGAGGAGGAGATCGTCTCGGAAGTGCCACTTTCACCCGCAAAAACTGGTGGAAACCAAGAATTTTTTTTGGTAGTGGTGATACAATCAGAAAAGCACCAAACAGGGGCTAGCACTTTTGTGGAAATGCAATACTGTTTTCTACATTATATACGTCATCATATGATGTTTGAAGGTGTCCTTAAAGTATTATAGTAGGGATGTAATTATATAGATTAATATGGGACACATAGCCAACAATACGATATGGGTTTGTCTGAAAATCGCGGATTTTCCCGGATAATATGTGACAGTTTCAACCGGAAGCATGATGATAAACCATTGGACACTGGATTTTGGGGTAGCCTATTTTCATGTCAACCTATTTTGGAAGCCGTCTCCAGTATCTTCCCAATGAGAATGGATCAATGGTGGGATTTCCACTAACTTGTGCTATGAGCTACGCAGCGACCTCTTGTAGATTCTGCTAGTACAGACTATCATTAACCAATATTAACCATTCATCATTTATCTCCCTTTTTCGTCCTCGTATTATTGATGGTTAAAAACTTTTGTAGAATCCTATGTATATATATTTTATATATATTCATGCTCACTACATATATATATATACATATATATATATATGTAATCTGAGTATGGCTCTCATCCCCATGATCCGTATAACCACAGATTGGCGACGAATGAGTTTTACAAGGACGCACACACTGGTGACACACACCGTTACAGGACCAATAAATGAACAGATCCAGTACCAACCCAGGGTGCTGCTGGGTTTTTATCATTACAGTGAATGGAAAATTAAAACTCATCATTGATGTCATGTGGTGGTTATTGTATCCCTTATCAGTATTATACTGGTTGGTGGTTTGGAACATTTTTTATTTTTCCATATATTGATTGGGAAAAATAACCCCAACTGACTTTCATATTTTTCAGAGGGGTAGGTATACCACCAACCAGTTATGTTATATCTATTTATAATCCCATCATATAACCATATATATAACCACTATTATTGGTATTATAACCACTATTATTCAGAAGATTCCCTTTTCTTGATGGTGCTGAATCCCCATTGTTGCCAGTGACTTTGGAAGGGATTGGCCCCAAGGCCCTGACTCACGGCGGAATCGTCCACGTAATTTACTCACGAGGCGGGGACAGGACTCGAAATCATTGGGGATGAAATATGTATCATGGATAATCATGGATATATATATATATACATATATAATTTAATATAATTTATAATATAATGTATATATACAATATATATAATATAATCTTTAATATATAATATATGATATATAATTTACAATATATAATATATAATATACATAATATATATACATAATATAGATAGATATATTTATATATCTATACGATATATATAATATATCTTATATTAATAATAGATATAATATATATAATGTAGATACAATATACAATATAATATATATATATGTAGCAATAATAATATATATATATTGTAATATCAATCTATTTATTATTTAATACATATATATATATTATGATATAATATATATATAGTAAAATAAATATATGTCTATATCTATATATAAACACGGATATGTAAAAATATTAAGCTCTAAGCTCAATAGTCCTGTGATGATCCGGTTCCCAACGAAGACTTACCCAATGCTGCCGTTCCTCATTTCGATCAAGCACTGACGGTCGCTAGGTCTGAGGATGTGAGTCAAGCCCAGTCAGAGCGGTGCCACTGGTGACTGCTCTGTGTTTGAAGATGGGGTGAGTCAAGCAAGTGAACCTCGCTATTTTGTGACATCATGATAAACATGATAAAAGAATGACATATCAATGGATATCAAGTTATGTGATGTCTTGTCTTCTGCCAGCCTGGCTGGCTGGAATCCTTCTTTTTTTGCCAACTTGTTGATCCTGATGAAATCCAACTTGTTTGACTTTCAGATTGACCAAAGTGTGCTGAGCCCCATGCCTAGAGATGCCAAAATCGTGGGTCAAAATTCTGGGACCAGGAAACATCGGTATCTGAGGCCATTCGAATGGTGCTGCCTATTTGATAGGAGTTTCATATGGCATAAACCAATCTCTGGAACTATACTTACTAGATCTTACTAGAATATACTGAAACGCATCAGCAGATGCTCTCAGGTCCCCAATTTTGCCCATCCTCAGCCACCACGGGCGCGCGCGGCTGTTTGCCGGCGGGCCCGGTTCGGGGCTTCGGAGCGTCAGATGTTGAAAAAAGAAATTTGGCGTCGTCCTGAAGATTGTTGACGAATTTGGGGGCATAGTTTCCAGGGGTCCGAAATGCCCAGTGAACATCTATTAAAAAATGGTGAAAGTGAATGCAAGGGACCATCCGGTGAAATGCAAAACTATGTGTAGAGGCGACCTGATTGCGAAGGGACAACCATCAAAACTATGTTCATAGGTAAAACGAGCTTCCTTTTCGCGCCCAAATGACCTGGAAGATGTCAAGTGCTGAGGAAATCATCTAGGTGTCATCCAGATGTTGGACTTCAACCAAAAAGGGATTGCTAAAAACCTCAGAGCTCATCTGGCTACAGAAATCATCTAAGCTTGCATAGGTCAAGTATTCTTGGGATGCGTCCTAGATAAGGGTCATTGGCCATCATTGGCCAACAAACGCAACGCTTGTGGCACTTTCATTGCGTCAGATCGATCAAGCAGGATGATTGATCTCAGGACGGCTAGCTACCTCGTCTCCAAGAATTGGACGTCGAAGATGTTTTTTTGTTGCTTCCGACTCCGGGTCAACAAATGCTAATTTTTGCAGGGTGCAAAAGGGACAACAAATGGCATTATGTTCAAGATTCAAAGGCTATAATACTGTCCATCTAATCTTCGGCGTCAATAACTTGTACCATGATTATGTACAGAACAACAATAACAGTTGGGAACTCCCAAGGCTTTCAGCATGGCGAATCGATTTTCTTCATTCCCACAGTAGAACCGCTGTTTTGGTCTCGGCTTTTGCTGAAGCGTCATTTGAGGTTTATCAGAAGAACGCTGAATGATACTATATTTTAGGCTGGTTTAAAGCTTGCCCAGTTTTGCAATGAAAGGAAGTCTAGTTCCAGGTTGGCACGTGAGCGGAAGCATGTCCGTGTTTTTTCTTTAGAGGTTGTTTCGACAACCGCATGCTGCTGAAGCAGAATGATCGCAGAGGGAGCGGGCAGAAAAGCAGCTGTTAGTGGTGGAGCGATCCAGACTATCTCTAGCTCGATTAGTTCGATGTGCCAATGACCCTGGTGGGCTAGATTGCAACAAGTTGGCATATCTTGGGCATAAAAATTACCTCCCTTGCATCCCCTTTGCCATGAAGCTCCAAGATTCATCCCACTATGGAATTAGGAAAAGTGTATCCATGGGGTGTCCGCATGGCACAAGTTTCTTTCTCACAGAATCAAGTCGGGCCCTTTGCTTTGGCTCTGTGGGTGGTACATGACACCAGTTAATTGGCCTATTTGATGTGGTCATTGCTGGAAATACCCCGGGAAAAGACCCACATGTTTGGGGCACTGGCCATTTAGATGTACCTTTTACAAATCAGCTAGACCTTACCAATGCAACCCGACAAAGAGCGTTGCGTCAGGCCCCTATTCAACATGTAGAGCATTGTGTAGAGAGGTTTTGCCCCTTGTAAAGATGAAAATCTCCAAAACAGACAAGTTGACCAAGTTGACCCAGCCAAATGTGTTCGGAGTTCACTAAGAAGTCATGATGCAGTTGTTTTTAAAACATGGACTGCCAACAAGTACTGTTGCTCGCGTGGCCCATGTGGCGCAAATGGGCCATGGATGATCTTCTTGAAGAGATTTCCGAGCAGCCGGACAGCAGAGCCCACATGTTTCACCGTTTTTTTTGCCGCAAAATTCCTGAGATGTTTATTGGAACAAGATTCAGAGATGTTGATGCATCATGACCATTCCAGTTGGTTGTCTCATCCATCGCAATGGCATGTCAGTTGTAGTACAGTACCTATGATGGGTAAACTGAGAGGAATGTGTTCTGCCATGTTCTGCCGATGGTGAAGGGGTTTCAGTCTGCTTTAGTGATGGGTGCATTCTCCAAAATGGTGGTCAAGCCATCTGAGAATTGGACGTATCGTGTTCTTTGGATTTTTTTTGATGGTTCTTCTGTCGGAAGTGGGTGATGCCCGTTCCGTTGGCAGAAAAATTATCCAGTTGACTTGCCAGTTGACTCATGCCTCACTCTGCCCAGGGCCACTGAAGTACCTCCCGTCTATGCCCTCAGAGATGGATCTTGATGGGAATTTTGGGTTCCATGAGGACTTTTTTGGGATAAAAATCAATTCATGGACGTCCACGGCCATGGTTCGCGAAGTGTTTGACTGTTTCCGACCCCCTACGATTTCCGTGGCTAGTCCAGCGGCATTCTCAGATGTCTTGTGTGATTGGTCTCATGGGCCCTAGGAAACTCTGTGGTTTTTCAGCCAACCAATGAAGGTGCAGGAAGATGAAGATTGGAAGAACAATCATTGGCTGCATCACCTCCCACTGAATTCATTCATAGGAATCAGAACTATGTACATGTGTTCAATGTAATTGACTATTTTAACTTTGAACCACAATCTCACACTTCCGCTGAATTTCGAAGATGATCCAAAGCAACTTTGACATTTGGCCGATGCATCAACCCTGCAGGGCCTGAACATTCCCTCCGACAGTGTGGTGGAGTTTTTTCAGAAGAAGCGGATCCGCGGCAGCCTTCACCGTAGCGGGTCCAAGGTACGGGTACCCATGATGAATCATTTATTTCACCAGCATAGAGTTCGTTTCCCGTTAGTTGGTTCATAGATGTTCATAGTACGGGTAACTTAAGCACATTTTTCACCACCAATGTGATGGCACATGAATCCCAAACTGGCCCCACAATATGTGTTCTAATGTGTTCTAATGTATTCTAAAAAGACATCATTGTTTGCACAAGCAATGAGCTCTGAAGTGACCCTGAATGATTACTGGTTTGAGTATGGTTGGGGTGTGACCCAGTCAGTGGGGTTCAAAGCCACCTGAAGAGATTGAGCCTAAAAGAAGATAGTTGAGCCATTAAAAATACCCATGTTGATGGGTTGCTGTAAGGAGATTTGCTACCTAGTTATTGGGAATTCTTATAATTATATAAACCATAATATAAGTTTTAATGGCTCAGTTTGACAATATTTGGAACTGCAGGCCAATTTCTGTTGTGCCGGTCGTGTCACAATTACTAGATGAACTCACAGCCAGTAAAATTGAGAATCGCGGATTGGGGATTTGCCGACCAAGCTTCAGCTGATCACAGTTGTAGGACACCAGCGGCACATCCTTTCCCACCTTGAAACACTGCTGCAAGCCGTCAGGTGAGAACACAAGCATGTTCTGCTCCGGATTCCTGTAATACTACTTTTGCCTCACAAGATCTTCAATGCAGAATCGCCTTGAATGTTGAGCTTACCTACCATTGTTAAATGATATATTTCTTATTTCTTGTTAAATGATATATTTCTGTGCAAAATGCGTCAGTTACCTCGCTTTCCTCCGAGGAAAGCGCCCACAAAGCCAGCAGAAGCTCGGCCATGGCGCCCATCCAATTCATCCCCACAGAAGCAGTACAGCTATGTATTTCGTTGTTTCTTGAGCAATCCAGTGATGAATCCCATAACTGACATATGAGCAATCTACTCGTAAGTGGGGTGCGGGGATCAACCTACTTGGATTCATAAGCCAATCCCCATCATAAAAGCAACAGGCAACACTTGAACAAATGGGTCATGTGGATAAGAATTGGGTATGCCACACAGAAAAGTTGGAGAGTTTATACATGTTTATATACATGTTTATACCTAAATTTGCATGAGAATTGCCAGCATAGGGGATTGAAACTGTCTTCGAATGTGGGTTTATCTCAAATTTTTTTTGGCACCCCTTTCCATCCCATGGTTGCTTCTAATGTTACCTATCTTCCAATGGCAATTTGATGGCGGGCCATCCCCCAGATTCTTATATGTAATGGTACTCGCATATAATGTTATAATATGTTATATATATATATACATAGTGATGTATGTATATATTATATAAATACATAATAGCTGTATGTAGCATTATATTATATATATATACACATACACGTAATATTATATATAGCCTGCTTCATCCCCATAATACTCACGGATATTCCATAAAATCTACTTTAGATTTCAGATCCAACCACATCGCACCATATCCCCCTTCCAAATGGATTTTGTTTGTTTAATACCTTCCAAAAATAGTTGAGACAAGCATAGTCATATACCATTATATCCCCATCGTTCCTACTCTTTATCCCCATCAAGTGCTAGTTTTTAATACCCCCACTAAACCTTCAAAACGTGTTTACCCTATGGATGATTGACCTTTTTAACAATGTTGATTTTCCACTTCGCAGTGTTTTAGTCATTACCAGAGGATATAGCCATTATATGCCATTATATGATCCCCTATTTAGATGGTTAAATCACTGATCATTTCAGATCCATTCATAGATGATTTATGATGATTTCCCGATTTCCTGGAAAATCATCCATTTAGGTGATAGGTGATTTTCCTTACCATCTTATATGCATATATATATACATGTTAGTCATTACCGTTGCGGGTAAGCCTTCAGCAGCCGAGGATTTGCTGATTCCCTTGACGAACCTCAGTGAGGAACACGTGGATGATGCCATCCGAACGGAGCGTGCGGGCCATGGACGAGCCAACCGCAGGCGATTGAAAGCCTGGTCATGATTCAATCTATATACAATATATGTCTAATTATTTGCATATGATATATCACATTATTGATATCATATCATATATATATATATATCACATTTGTATGTATATATATATATACATATATATATATATATGTATGAGTCATACCTTAGACCCTAGGTGCCAGAAGGCAAACATATTTCACAGGTGCAAACAGAAACCGCAACCCCAGAAGATGTCACAGTTTTGCAGAACAGGGGATCATTGGACTTCAGGAGTGCCAAGAATTGTAGTGTTGGATGTTCCAAGAGTGCTGGAGAGCTATCCGTTGAAAGTGTTGGATCCTGGAGATGCGCTCCGGACTGACTCCATGGCATTTTTCGGAGTGCTTTCTCCATCTTCCATTTGGAAAAGCCCGTATTTTTGGGAATAAGCTGAGGTCATTCCTATGGTAATATATGGTTAATGATGGTTAGTCATAGTTAATGGTGATCAATGGTGATTAATGGTGATTAGTTCATGATGGTAAGTTGGGATATATCACTTTGAGGGTGGTGAACAGGGTGAACATCCATGACTCATCATGACTCCAAGCTATTTTGATGCGAAGGGTTTGGCAACGGCTACACCCACGCTGCCTGGCAGGGTGCAGCCGTTTCTGCAGAAGACCGCCCGCACCGGCAGGTGATGCTGGGGGAAATGGCCCAGGAAATGCCCAGGATGACTCAGGATCCAAGCCGCCTCAAGTTCAGACCTAGCAACGGCCAGCAGCTTTAAATGTTGAAAGGTCTTCATCAATGTTCATCATCCATGATAGCATTGCAAACAATTAAATTCTTACCCTTTGGCAATCAAACATGGTTTGCTGGAAAATCACCCCATTTAGTTCATTTTAGTTCGATGATTTTCCCGTTCAAATTGCCCTGTTTGATAACACCCTTATTCATGTTCCCCCCTTCCATTCATTGACCCCTTTTCTTTGAATACAACTGGTTTGAAACTCATATTTTTTGAATATATATATATATGAATGATAAATCACATTTTTTCTTGGTTAAATCACCCCTCATCACCATATGGTATCCTCCCTGAAAACCCTCCATTTTCAGCAGGCCCAGCCGAGGGTCATCGCCCTGCAGGCCCAGCCGTGACCTGGGTCCCCGCGGTCGACCCAAGGAGTTGTCGCCCATCGAAGCCGCCAGGGAGGCCGCGGCCAAGAAAGGCCTGCGGAAACGCCACGGCTACGCCTCGGCACGACGGAACAGTGGAACCATGGCGATGGCGTTTTTGTGGGGATGGGTTGTATGGATTTATGTCGTGATTGAGTTAATGCTCAAAATGAATGGATGAGGTATAGTTATAGTAACAGTAGTTATATGTAGTTATAGTTTTTTTGGTGGTTTGATGATCGATGTGGTTTCAATATGTTTCAAGGATGATTTAGCCCCCAAACAATGGTCAAAGGTTTTTGTAGTTTTCTCATGGGGATTCTGGCGACAACTGCGTCTTGGGGGGTCACCTTTGAGGGTGGCTACTGTACTTAGATACCCATGAGATGTGTTTTGCCGCTTTCAGTTGCTACTGTACCTGTTTGTTTTTAAAACTATTTTATAGGGTCGTAGTTCCTTTTATTTTGTTTCATAGATTGAGCTATTGTTGTAATACTATGATGTTTGGATGAAATTGGATAAACAGGTTTTATTTGGCAATCATGTCACAAGATATTTTCAGATTTGAAAGTGCGGGGCCCGGGGTCAACCTTCGGTAGTTGGCGGAGCCTGATGGCTGGGCATTGCTCGGGGGATATGTGATACTTTTGCAGGAGCTGCTAGGAGGATGGTTTCAAGGAAGGTGAGCTAAACAGTGCCAGCGTCAACCAGAGATGCCGATTTAGTGGGTTTGGATGTACATAGTTTAATGTATTCTGCCAATGCATTCAGCACCAAATTCCTAGCAACTTCGGTCAATTCAATATCATCAGCCCGGATTGCAATTCTTTTAATAGGTTACATTTTGGGTGGCTTTTGTCACCAAGAATATTCTGGGCTTTCTGGTTTTCTGCATGTTTTTGTTGGTCCATGCTTATTGTGTGTTGTCGGTTGGTATTCTCGTTTCTTTCTCTTGCTGTTTCTGTATACTGACAGTGGTTATTTGTGACTACTTTATACCTGCTTTTTCATTCTTTTTCTGATTGGGAAACGATTTCACCACACCTTGCGATATTCTCCCACTTTGAAAAAAAGGAGGATTAATTCGGAGGGATCCTGAAGTGCCACCGTCCGAAAAAGACACGAGCATGGATGACAAAGTCTAGCTACGAAGTCTAGCTTTCCAGCCGCGGCTTTGGGTTTGCTGAGGTATAGACCAAAGTGAGCCCTTCAACTGCAAATGGAGACATCCTGTCACCAAAATTCTCAGAAGAAAACGGAATGAAGCTGGGCATATCTTGCCGTAAAGAGTAGGTGAACAGACAGGGATGAGGATGCAACAGGAAGATCTGGCTTTTGCCCTACTCCGTGTTACGAAAACAGGCGACCTGTTTCACATTGGCAACCCGCAACCCATCAGCAGGGTATGAAATCACCAAATCCCATAGATCTCCTTCTCCTTCCACTGGTTGATTCATACAGGCGTCCCATTCAACAGATCAGATAGAGACTATAGATAGACCATCAAAATGGATGATGGGAAAATCCCATTTCGTCGAAAATGGATCAAATGCCATCAAAAAATATCCAACATCATTAAAATCCCCAAAAAAATCAGCAAATCCCTAGGTCGAAGTTACCTCGAAACCGTGATGTCCTGGTGGGTTGGCAAGACCTGCTGAACGAAATCGCCAGCAGCTCGCGGCGCCTCCGCGCCGCGCGTGGTGGCGCGCAGGCGGCCAACGCGGACGCCGCGGAGTCGAGGCCCAGGAGCTGTGCCCAGGGTGTGGTTGGTGATGCTGAAAGATGGGAAAATATACTGTATACAGTATATCATATCATATACATAATATCTATATATATATATATGTATTGATATCTATATATATACACTATATATATAATTATATATATGTAAGTGATTATATAAGTGACAACAAGATTTTGTAATGTTGATCTCCAAAGTTTGGGATTGTTTGGTATATACACTATATAATTCATGATAGTTGTTTGAGATTGGGATTTGACTAGCAAGAACGGGGCTTTGACCACAAGAAAATGAGACATAATCCATCACAATCCAGGAAGTCTGGTCAACCAACCAGTAGTTTGGAGGGGATGACAGAGGGTTCTGGAGCACTGCCCACGGGTAAATGGTAATGGTTATGGCGATTCTCGTTATGGGAGCATTTACAACAACCTTGAATTTATGGCCAACAGAAGTGATGTAGAACCATCATAAGTTCTTGGAAGCCAAAAAACACATGGTGTGTTTATGTGTATTGAAACAACGGCATGGGACGATTTGGCAGCTGGTGTAACCAACAACAGTTTGATGCATAACCAGCCTGGCATGGGGCTCTTTGAATCAACAATGATTAATAAAGATATAATAGCACAACAGAAAACAAATAAAGGATATAGAGAATCGAAAATCCCTTGGTAGTTCAAGACAATGTTCCCACCATTGGGATGTTTTGTTTTGCTTTCCCAACCAGGAACCGGGGCATATGGCAGGACACAAGAGAGTCGAGCTGGCTCCCCGATCGCGGCCGTGGCGGAGGACGATGGCCTGTGGCTGTCGTACCGCAGCTTGGCAAGGTGGGAACCGGTGGGAACCATTGGACTTGAGTCAAGATATGTCAAGATAAGAGTTGGTTGTAAAATCATGTGCAATGGATTTGATATAGGAGATATATCATACTTTATCATACTTTATCTATCATACTTTACAAGTGAATTGCATCTGATGTTCTTGTGATGCTCTCTGAAGATCAACCATTGTGATACCTATACGCGGAGCCCTACAGGCGAAGCCAGGTTGGCAACGGCCGGGTTCGACAGGACCTGATTCCGTCGATGCTGGACCGCCGAGGAATCAGTGAAGAGACGGTGCCCAATGCCACACTGCTGCGCATGTGGAATTATGCGGTGGATCCTCGCAAGGAGCACCAAATCTACTGAGGGATGCCGAGCGGAAAGGCACTGGAGGATGCAGAACCACGTTTGACCCGTAGATTTGCCATCGTTGAACAGACCTTTTGGATGTCTTCATCTCAGATTTGGTTATCTGCTTGGTGGCTTGGAACATTTGTTTTTTCATATATTGGGAATAATAATCCCAACTGACTATTTTTCAGAGGGGTAGGTACCAACCAGTTATAGTGAAGCCATCACTTCTCTCAGCAAAAACCAATGCAAAATCTCCAACTGGGTCATCGCCGACCTCATCCCCAAAATGGCCAGCATATTCAATGTAGGAATTGCAATGTTTTGCCCAGATATCTATGACGTTGTGCCGATAAGTACTGGAATTCCCAAGTAATATAAATATATTCATAAACATGGAGATATATACATATATAAATATACATACATACATACATATATATATATATGCTGCCTAAATCATATATATATTATTACTTATTATATATATGAACATTATATAACAATATGTATCTGTATTATATAAAAAGGATATAAAAAGGATATATTCTATGTTTATGTTTGAACATATCTCCCATGTGAATCCCTCGCCGTCCAAGTGCCCTCACAGGACGATGGGATTCAGGCCCTGGAGCGTGTGCCGCGTTTGACGGTGACCAAACGCGAAGTGCAGCCGCTGCCGGTGGTGCACGACTTGGTGCAGTGGCGACAAACCAACAAAAGGTGGCCCGGTGGAGACTTCAGATACCCTCTGGTAATTTAACAGTTTGCTATTGAAAATGGTGATTTATAGTGGATTTTCCCATTAAAAATGGTGATTTTCCATAGTTATGTTAGTTTACCAGAGGGTAGCTACAAATAACTGGTTGGTGGTTTGGAACATGTTTTTTTCCATATATTGGGAATAATCATCCCATTTGACTTTCATATTTTTCAAGATGGTTGAAACCACCAACCAGAAGAAGGGCTTGGCCCCAAAAATGTTGGTTACATAGCAGATATAGCAGTAAAATCTGATATTTAAGCCACACAAATTTGCATTTTCACCACATATCATGGTCCTTGATTTGCTGAACAATGATTGCTTGTTTTCCCAAGGGGAAATTTACTACTTGAGGAATCAATTGAGGGATTTTTTTGGGCGGTCATTAAGCAAATCCAAGATTATATATGCTACAACTACAGGTGTATTGTATACATTACATAATTTGTATATTATACATACATTACATTACATTGCATTACATTACACTACACTACACTACATTACATTACATTACATACCATACATACATACATTACATAATCATATATACCGACATGTATATATATATGCGTGATATACAAGTATAACTTATACATATCATACACTTTATGATATATGCTAGAATTCAAGAACAATAGAACTGTAAATAACTAGGAAATTACTTTGCTTATCTTGTTGGGAATGACAATGTGTATGCTATATATGCGCATAAAATTATATATATACACATGCATTTCAAATATACAATTGTAGAGATGCGTATTAACGCGGAATTGTACGTGTAATCATAGATTCCATATCATATATATATATATATACATCCATATACACCAATTACACCAATAGCAATACCAACGGATACAATGTCGTGAACCCAGTGTCACAACCCCTGTCGGCGATATGGTGAATCCTGCGCTCCTAGGCCACTTTCATAAGAGTGATGGTGAGATACCGAAATGGATGAGAGTGGATTTTTCTGAATATCGATCTCGTCGAATGTTTTCAGATTCTAGATCTTTTCAGATATATAGAATGATATAGACTATATCGTACTATATCATTATATAGATATCTAGACTATCTATATCAAGTATATCATTAGAATATCATATCGTACTATATCACATTAATATCATTAATTAGATATCTATAAAATGATATTAATACTAGATATCTACACATCAACTATATCATTCGAATTCATTAGATATCTAATGTGTAGATCAACAAAAATCACAACATCAATTTGGGTTTTCCGAAACATGGCCGAAAAAATTGGATCCCTTGGATCGTCCATCGATGTCCATCGTCCAGGCGCCGGGAGATGCGAAAGGCCAAAAAGGAGGCGGATGCTCGGCGGATGCGAGGAAAAGGAGGCCCCAGTTATGGCCATTTGGATGGGAAAAGATGGGACAATTTTGGGAAAATGATGATAAACCTATGGGATTCTAAGGATGGATGTTGGATTTTGATGATGATTTACTATTTTTTGGATTTTCCTGCCAGTTATAGCCATTTTGATGGGGATAATGATGATTTATAGGTATGGATGGAACTCTGAAAGATGTATCACTATTGTTTATGATTGATTTTTTGGATTTTGATAACTATTGACCAATTTTGGATAATTCAGAATAGACTGGGAATTGTTACAGGATCATTATTACTGTTATTAGTTATTAGCATAGAATGATTGAGGTATTGATCATTATTGATTGTAGTGATTTTAGGGATCTGGTTTGTTTTGCGCTTATTGTGGATAGATAATTGAGAAGGATTGGGAATGTTATAATATGTGTGCAATACCAATGAATTGGGAATATGGATTTAGGAATTTGACGATTCTTGACCCATCAATTGTGGGGAAAAATGTCAGATAATCGGGAATCCTATGATGATTATTATATGCCTTGTGTTATTACTATAATCATTACACTATAACTGAGAATCCAATTTTCGACCCCACGTCTGGAGTTGGACAAGCAGTTTTTGTTGCAACAAATGTAATGAATCTTCAGGATAATTTATGATGGCAGCTGAACCTCTGATAATATAGCATTGGTTCTCACCTCCATGTATATGGGTAAGTCATTGATCGAAACATGTACGAAATTGTCCCGTGGCCAGCTACATCATCTTTTTGTAGAGGAGATGTTTTAAAACAGTCCCAAAGGTACTTGGGACTATGTCAGGATTGGAGACATTTTGAGCGCAACTTCCCAGGCGCTCTTAGGGGGTTAGAGGTCTTCCAACTTCCCGGCCGAGGAACGAAACCCGACCCTGGAAGAGATGTTGATTGCAATCTTCGGAGACACTTAGAAAGCAGCTGCAATGAGTGTGATACCCAACAAAGATGGTGGAAAAGCACTATCAGTGATACATCTATGTGTTGATTTATTATCCCACGATATCCAGTGTTTACTTCATACCTCCCCATCTTTGCAATTTGTATCTCCCTGTTGATGGCTCATCTCGTTGATTTCAATCCTTCATTGGTTTGTCTGAAAATTTAGCACCCCAAAATCCAGTGGTTGGTCATAATTTCGGTGAACTTCTTTATTGGGGCTAAATTTGCCATTTTCAGACACAAAAAAATCAAACTGTTGGGTGTCCCATGTTACCTCCCACAAAATATCCTCATTATCTCATTATGGTTGGTGTTCAAACATGTTTACACCCTATGTGTGTGTGTGGATTCAGTCATCTTTCTCTCATTTTTCATGCTTCAATTAATAGTCATTAGTTATACCCACCACGTCGCCTCATTTTCGCCCACTACATCCCACATGTTTTCCAGAAGCTTTATATCCCCATGGTCCCCATGATCATATCCAACTTTCCACAACACCATGTAGCTCAGTACCTTACCGGGCACATTTCATCACATTTCCACCCCGAACTCCGAACCCTAAGGAGGAGGACATGGATCTCCTGAACCTCGACGAAGCTCAGCTCCTGAAGCACCGCGCCGACGGTGCCTTGGACGAGGCGCTCAGTTGGATCGCCCAGCACGCCGGAACGGCGTCGCCCACAGCGCCGCGGGCACGAAATGGGGCGATGCCGGGGACGCCGAGTGAAAAACAACAGAGGCAGAAGTTGGAGACTCGGAGTGGCGAAATTAAGTGTATTTAAGTCTTAAGACGTTAATTTGGAAAAAAACAAATCACCTCTGGTTGATCATCAATTTTGTCACTGTTGACTGGCCAAGAACGTGATATTGTTGATATCATGTTTGGTCGAAACCGAAGCCATTTTAGTTTTGTCGGGGTAGGAAGGCAGGTTGATGATGGATATTGATGGATTATGATCATGATTCATGATGTTGAAGAATGGAGAGGAGGAGGTGTGTTTTTCATGTTTTGCAAAGTTGAATAAAGATGTCATTGGTATCATCAACAGTTTCGGCCTGGCCCATATCCCCAACCATATAGCCAACCATAGTTCACACCCATCATCCAACAGGTCGTTACATATATGTATATACTTATATAATCTTATATAGATATACTATGAATACTATATGTACCCACATCATCCCTCCATACAAATATAATGTAACTATGTATATAGTGCAATATATATATATAGTCATCCCTTTTGAATTTCATGCAACTATATTTTCTATATGTACAATTTTATATATCAAATGATATCTCACGCGCGTTCTACAATTGGGATCATCATGCCGTCCCTGCCATGGTGTCATTTGTTGCTACCGAGGAAGAGCTGGAGCTTCTGAAGGACGTTCATTCCGTTGATCTGTGTAACAAAAAATTGCTGCTCAGGAAGGAAACATGAGTGTTTAATTGTTTTCAGGGTTTGGTGCCTCATGTTATGTTGTTGTTACCATTTTAGGGTTCAGCAGTTGTTTGAGAAAAAGTATCAAGAACAAAGTGGTGCAGGTCTGTTGTAGCCATTAATTTAGCCCAGCCAGGAATCGCTTAAGGTTGATTCGAAGACTCGAACCCGATCTCACAAGGTTGTGACATTAGCCGTTTGGATCCCAAAGTGGTCTTAAATGTGTGAAGCTCGCAGAATAGAACGGGTCCCACCAAGAGCACATGACCCCGTGGGTCAGGAGATCCAGTTGATCTTGACCGAAGATGCTGATGAAGCACTCAAAGCATTTCAAGAACTGGAACCGAATCTAAGCTGGAGCTAAGCGGAAGTGCCAAGTTGACCAGATTTGAAATGTACTTGGTGGCTATACGACATGATATTCATCGGCCGAAAGGCCCGCCAAGAATATTACAATACGGATATATGATATATGGTACTATATGGAAATAGTGAGATATTGACATTGAAAGATCATGAAAGAGTGCAGTGTGAAGCAACAAGAGTATGAATACGGCCCAGAAATGGCACTGCTAGCAGCAACCCGACATTGTACCATTGAGAACTACACCAAAGGAAACAACCAAGAATCGGCGCAAAAAACAACATAAAGAGCAAGTTTGTTGCTGCGCGCCACTTGCCATTACTTTCATCATGATGTAAGGTCCACCAACTACAAAACAAACACTTGCCAGGTTCAAGATGTTTTCCTTAAAACCTGGAGGTTTTTTGAATCTCCCAAGTGGCTTCTCAAACACAAATTTGACATTAAATGTCGTCCATTGTCATCCCCTTTTTAATTGATTACCAATGCTCAACCATTCTGAGAGGATCGTAGAACTTGGGGTGGTCGCAGATCGAACCCCCGAACAGGAAGATTGTGGGTGCTTTGCGCCGTGGAAGACGCGGTGGCTTCGATGAGGGCAAGGTGCAGACACTTTTTTGGGTATAAATTGGGTCCGAAAACCTTGTGGTTGGTCAATGGTCATCATCATTTGGCTCAATTGAACGTTTGTGTTCTTTGTTGGTAACTGCGACATCACCATATGTCTTCACGGAGTCTTCAACCAACCCAGTGTCAATTGGTGATATCACCTTTTGTTTCGCAGCTAATCACATTACTAATATCTTGCTAGCGGTCGATCCTGGTTTTCAGCGGTCGCATCTCCAAGTTGATATTTGTGTGTCTCGTGCCAGGCCTCTGCGAAGTTGGCCTTGTCCATTGCGGATTTGCAGGCAAACTGAGCAATTTAATCAGTCTGCCTAGAAAATCCCCAAGCAAGTGTGGTTGTGGCTGTGGCGAGGTTGTTTCATGATTTGCATTGTCTAGTCCTACTGGGGAAGTCGTCTTACAGACGGTGTGCCAAAGTTTGAGAAGTCTAAACAGCACAGAACCTTAAGCAAGTGGGGGGCGCTTCAATTATTGATGTGCCGAACTCTCAATGAATGCTGCCGGGCAGCCGGCTTCTGGTTTGGAATCCTTCAGGAAAGCGTTCAATGATGTTCAATGCGTGACACTAAAGAACAACTTCCTCAAGAGTTCCTTGTTTATTGATTTTGTCCAGCTGGTTGTTGAATCTTGGACACAGCATTGCAGAATTCACACCGTACTCGTACCCTTTGGTAATCAAGAGTGGTAATGGGAAATCCCCCATTTATAGATGATGTTCCCATTAAACATTCCATTTATAAGGAATTTCGCATATGTTCGGATGGTTTTCCGGTCATTTTCCCCTTTCCAGGCGCGACAAGATAAGAATGTGGTGCGATGCAAGACGCTGCGAAGGGGCTTCGAGCACAGCCGAGCCATCAGGCCAACGGGTTGATTCGCATGGGATAAATATAGAGTTAATCCACTAACTGGTGAACTACCCTCTGGTAAACTAACATAGCTATGGAAAATCACCATTTATAATAGGTAAATCAACTATAAATGATCATTTTCAATAGCTATGTTAAATTACCAGAGGGTAACCCACTTAATTACATCATCTTACATCCACTTCCGATTCGTGGGATGAGCCACCAAGTACCCTAGATTAAACTATTTGATATAGATGAGGAAAATCAAACATTTGTAGACTATTTTCCTGGAGTTTCTGGCTTTTCCACATCTATGTACGTCTACCCTAGGGAAATCACCATGCTCCATATCATTTGGGGTTAAACATTGGGTGGGTGTTTCCATTTTCAGACACATCCAAATAGTTTTCAATAATACTGATACTGCCATCATGTAGTGAAGATATCCAGTACTTTCTACTGGTCTTCAATATGTTATATATATATATATTATATATATATCTCTTAAATTGCCATGAAAGGTCATGAGATTGAACATCATGTGTTTCTTAGGAAACTGTATGGTCCACTTCATTTGCGTGTTATGTCCACGACCGTTTATCATCTCTGATGGTGGAGATCCGGTCAAGGAGAAAATTTCCTTGATAGTCCTCCGTGATGCTCCTGGCAGTTCACAGCTCATGCAAGCATCAGGAAACGACTGGATTGAGCAGGAACGGTCATCAGGTTTTCCGGGAATTACTGACATAATGACACCTGTTTTCACTGCTAATTTTGATATATCTATGCGGCTCGCAAGAGCCATGAAATCTCCATGAAATCTTCATCAGGTGTGATATTCCACCATCGAGTTGTCGCAGGTCGTTACCATCAGATCGCGTGAAGAACGAGCCCATTGCGGAGCAACACATGAAGGACCCCAGACGGTACACGAGGTGTCTGAAAATGCGGCCTGCCCAAAAAGTCCAGTTGAAAACACGGTGATAAACTATGATAAACTGATAAACCACCGAATTTAATTCGGTACCCAATTTCAACAGACAAACCCTAAATGTTTCTAACCGAAGTTTGTTACGGTTTGATGCCAGAAACTCCATGGGGCATTCCGGGCAATCTGTTGAAGTGGCAGGATTTGCAACCTGTGCCAGTTTGTGTCAACATGTGTCAACTTTTTCCGCAGTGCTGTAAGACACTCAGGGACAACAGATACTTTATTGAGTTTAGACAGGAAATCCCATGGTATGAGTGGAAAAGAGGAGTCCTCGTCATGACTCGCAGGAAGTGGTGAAATCCTTTACTTCCGTGGTAGACAACTGTGACTTCCGCTGCACTGAGAAGGATGGTCCTGGGGGAGTTCTTGACTGATATGGATACATGGATTCGTCATTCTGTGCTTTTGGCCACAACTGGTTGTTTCAAATAGTTTCTTGCTTTCCCTATGGCCGAGGGATGCGTTAAGAAGTCGTTTTTTTCGGGGTAGAGTCCAGGATATTTCTTAATCGATATCTTTCGAACAAGAAAATTGCTTGCCATGTAGACTCTAAAATACTCTAAATCCGCCCGCACCGAAGGTGCTGGGGCGTGATCTTCTGGATGGCACTCGTAAAAGGTTACAGGTTTACCAGTGTTTACCTGGGGGGGGGGGCATTTTTCGGCCAAAACCTCCTGTTTTTGATAGGTCGTGACGCTCGCCTTCACAAAACACTGTAAAAAACAGTACGGAAGACACCTGTTCGTGAACGCGCCCGTCCAAAATCGGCAAGCGAAAAGTGAAAAAAACCCGTGTTTTTCAACTTTTTGACCTCAATTTTTTGGTTTGCAACATCTTTTTTTGCGGTTCCGCAGGTGGCCGGGCCCGGAGGCGGATTTTTGAGTTTTTGGACCCGTTTTCGGACTGATTTTCGTCGTTTTGTGATAGCAGAAACACTGGTTTTTACAGTGTTTTTCTGTTTTCTGCATGCTTGACGGCTAGCTTCAAAACTTCCAAAAACCTCGTAAATTACGCTGTTTTATGTTACGGTGTGAATGAAAACATCGTAAATACCAGTGTTTTTTGACGTTGGTTAAAAAAACACTGTAAATTACAGTGTTTTTGGCCACCTGACCCTCAAAAACCATGGTATTTGCAGTGGTTTCTGCTTCTCACCGCGCAAAAACACTGTAAATAACAGCAATTTCGCCGTTTTTTCATGTTTTTCGTTATTTTTTGAACTGCGTTGGTCCGCTATACATGGCTATCAAATTCTTCGCGTTTTTTTTTCCGACAATCAGTACTTTCGGATGTTTTTGGTCTCAATGGCCGACATCATTGGCAGTTACGAGCGGCTGCCCAACGATGCGGTGCGGGCGGTTGCCGTCGCGAAGCGACGTGAATATCTAAATTAGGTTTTTCAATCCAGCATTCCCCGACCCCTTTCTTCCGTTGTTGACTCTACAGCTCCCTTGTTTTGCCGATTCTTATCTATTCTTGCGGGTGAAAACTCTATGCACAGACCAAAGATTTTCCCAGCAACCGATGGATTGTTTTTGGGCTTCAATTCTGAGATCCAGAGGTATAGCGAGAGAGAGAGAGGATGTGTGTGTGTGTGTCTGTGTATACCCATACACTGGAATTGTGTATGGTATATTATATTATTATTGTTATTATTGTTATTGTTGTTATTACTATTACTATTATTATTATACATATATTATATATATAATTATATGTGACATTATGGTAATTTGTTTTATTTTAGCATATTATGTTATTGTTATATACACACATATATGTTCCTCTTTTGGTTGGGCTCCACTTCTGCTTCTCCCAGGCGAACGTCGGAGTCAGCGCTTCCACGAAGCCTTCCTGCGACGCCAGGGGCACCTCAGTGATCGGTTGTCCCGCAGGGTGAAACGCATCCAGAACGACCACTGCACCTGGGATGGCGTGGTGATGGCTAGGGAGGGCTGGAAAAACTCTGGGTAGCCAACCATGTACAAAGTAAGAGAATTCATGAGATCTGGGTAGCTATCCCAAAATATCCGAACTGTTTTCAGGTCAATGAAGTATTGTGATTCATGCAGATGAGTTAATACTGGGAATAGAATATTATATATATATACACGTAAACCAACAATAACCCAGCAAGTTGAGAAATGTATATACGGAGAAACGGCAAAAAGAGATCATGCTGAAGGGGAAACCCTTTTTGTTTTCAATATCAATATGTGTTTAATTTACTGCAGGTTGGCTCAGCAAAGTATCAAGAATGATTCCTTAATCATCAGTGAATGGACAGTTCAATGTTTGTGGATTTTTTGAATGAATTCAACATCCAAATAGCTGCTGACGTGTAGTGAGATTTACATTGGATGGCATGGTTTCAACCTGTTTCGATGGAGGTTCCGACATGGATGCGCTGCATCCTGCCCGTGAGAATCACATCCTGAAATAAAACCCACAACTAAGCCGTGGTTTCCACGTGTAGCCAATTTGGGGACAGTGCATACATTTAGGGGTCAGTTACAAGCACCTCCCTATAAGGTGTATTGTATATGAACATCTCAATATAGTCTACTTAGCATCTTGGTTTGGCAAACCTAGACATGAATTGGATAGCGAAATTTCTAGTCAGGATTAACCACTGAAAACCAGGATGACGGAATGACCAAATGACATGACACGCAGATGAGCACAGAGACAAAGGCAGGTAGATATGGAATTGGGCGTGATTTGGGGTTGGATTGGCCTTGGATTGAGCTTGAATCGCTTGGCATTGAATGGACTTTTGAGAGTCACAGGAATGGGTACGGTGTAACGGTGTAACCTGCTCTGAAATTCTTTGCCTGTAAGATGCAAAGAAAAGTCAGCAGATCCCCGATTTTGATTGAGTTCGGTCATCAATCTCCCACCAAGGTGAGATTCAATCCAAAAAGCAGCAGTCCATTCTCCCCTGCGTGGTCTCGGAAAATGCCTGCGCCTTTCTGTCAGTTTTGCACTTCTTGAAGCCGCACCGGGTGCATGTCGAGCGAAAACGACAAGATGCACATTCTATCTACATGAGGATAGGGAGCAGCACTGGGCAGTGGTTATGGGTTCAGATGTAATTAATCCAGTCAAGTGCACAAAAGTGTGTGTTTCTCTTCTGAAGTAATGCAAGGCTGGTCTAGTGGCGTTTTCCTTTATAGAATTTGCATGTGTGTTTGTGTGTGTGTTCCGTGTTCGGATAAAAGAGAAAGTGACACACAGTCATACCATGTCATACCAAACTCAGGGAGTCAGAAGTTATGGAGCGAGGCACAATGATGACCAGCTCATATCATCCAAAAGTATCTAAAAGCGATCAAATGTATTAGATCTGTTCGGATCTTAGGATATTCTGCCCCACCCACCAGTCCCGCGTCACCAAGGTTCGCTCTCTGATCTTGTCACGTTCACATGGTTAAGTCGGCATGTGAACCCAATTTCGTGTCACGTAGTGAATGCACACTAGTCTACTTCCACCAACTAGAGTAGTAATACCACATGTTCCTCACGGGACATATGTTACATTCTGTTACATGTTGTGTTCAGAGCTACATATTCACTAGATATTCAGGTATATTCAGAGCTTGGAAAGCTGTCAACTCTGGCAGGCAAGTGGAGAGGATTCAGCACTTCACTCATCTATTAGCTGATCCCAACCGCGAACCTGAACGAGGGGAAGTGTATCTGAGTCAATGCTTCCGCCATGCAGCTTGGACGATCAGAGTGGTCACCTCAAAATCGGTCAGTTGGGTGCCGGCTTAAAATCGCTCCCAGAAATTGATACCAAAAAGATTCAAAAAGGTATCCCATGTGTGGTCGCCATGCCTCATTGTTTGATATTTTCTGGTCACTTGCATTCATTGACTGGATGCTGGCTGCATTTTATGGAGGGGCAGCTTGTGCAATGTGCCAAGCACACTAATTACTTAACTTGAGTTGTACATGTATGTTTAATGAGTTGAGAACGACACCCTAAAGCAGAAAGTGCCAAGCTGGTTCACTGTCATGATCGAAATCGTGTTTCCTTACCTTATCGATTCATCGAGGATTATGATCGAACAATAATGTGACTTCACCTAAAATACGCATGGCCCGGAAGGTGCTTGCAGCGGGTTTGGCAGTGGACAAGTGCTACTTCTTTCGCGTGCTCAGAATCTTTCACTGCAGGGAGCTGGCGATTGTGCCGGAAGTGGAGGGTCCCACAGAATGATGAGCCAGGAGCCGTACAGCTATTCTTATTGTTATTTTATGTATATGATTATAAGTGATTATGTATGATTATATTATATATATATATATGATTATATAATGTCCAATGATGGAAAATCTGCAAAATAGTGGTACAAACCATCCCCAGTAGGTTTGTGGCATCGGGTTCACCACATTGTTAGACACCATGTCTTGCGGCACCATGTCCATTGCCTTTGCCAATAACAAGTTAAGCATCCACCCAAGCAGCAGGTAACGGGGGACTATGATGTTTCAACCTCAGTGCAGCCCAATAAAGGCCGTTCCAAGCCCAATTTCTTCGCGCTAAAAATTACGTAATTTTTAGCGCGAAGAAAAGGGCTAAAAAATTGGCCCCACATAGGCCCAACATGGCCCACATATTGGAACCACCTGGAACCTATACGACCCTATAGGAGCCGTCCTGGATTCTCCTGGATGTGCCCTGCCCCCAGTACCAGTCGGATCGAAACAGAGCCTTCGAAAAGGCATGGTTTCCATGGACTTAGGCGTTCCCTGCTATAAACAAACCAATTCGATGGAGTGTTGGGTTCTCCAGTTCAAAGAAACGTGCATATGGGTATGGTGGGGCAAGCTCACAGAAACCTGAAATATGGTGTGTTTTTGACATGCCAACATAAACCATTTGAAAAATTGCTCCTTTTATTGAGCCTTCGAAAGAAAATACCAAGATTTCTGCTTCTGCAGCCCAGGAAATTTGCAGCGAGAGGATTTTCAGAAGGCTGCCGCCAACCGCCAAGGGTTCATGGACTGCCTGAAAGGAGATCGAGACATCGAGTTGTTGCTTTTGGAAGAGTTCTTTGGACAACATCAACATCATGAGCATCATCATCATCAGCAGCAGCAGCATCATCATTATCATCAACATCATTACTATTATTAATTATTTTACTATTGTTATTTATTATTATTTACTATTATTTTATTATTATTATTATGATTATTATTATCACAGCATTATTATTTATTATTATTATTTATTATTATTATTTATTATTATTGTTGTTGTTTATTGTTTTTATTATTAATTAGTTTATTATTATTATCATCATTATTATTTATTATTATTATCAATGATCAGCATCAGCAGCATCAGCATCAATGATCATCATAATGGTTCATTTGTCAGAGTGTTTGAGTGCTTGTGGAGGTCTTCACTGTGAATTTCCTCGCAGCTTGTTGCGACGCCTTCAGCATCCCTGTGCGTGAACTGGCGGCACTGGGCGGGGGTGCGAAAGTGGACTCATGTTGCGAAACCGACAGATACCTACCAAATGATTGTTGGGGATTTTTTCGAAATCAACATTGGAATTTCAATGCAAAAATATCGATAATTACCGCTGTGTACCACCCAGTTGCTGGTTCCAAATCAATAGGTTTTTGAATTCTGATTGCCGATTTTGCACGTTGGAAGGTCTTCACCTTTGACTCTCATTGACTCATTGATGGGCGGCTCAACAACCAGCAGTACTTTTTCTGCTATTGGTGTGAAAATAGGGTAACTACCCGCAAACAAATATGTTTAAAAAAACAACATCCATGTTTCATCATGTTCCTTCTTATCTTCTTGAAGTGGACATTTTGAGGGGTTACTGTGCTTTATTTTTAGACTGACCTACTATCTCCGGTCTATCATCCCCATGGAATTAATATCGATTTATTACCCGCATTGTGGCTCAACCAGGCCAGCCATCCCATACGGTATCAGGTTGCTGATATACTCATGATATGCCCAGTATGTGTACCCACATGTACCCACTACATATCCCATAAACGTGTCGGTTACAGTAAATCCCACATTCATTCACATTCATCCCATGTTTTGTTGACCATAATAGGGATTCGTATTCCCATGACTACAGACTACTAAGGCTGTACCACTGATGAGATCCGAACCCGTATGAAGTTTGTTGTAGCACATTCCATTACCCCCACTATTGGTTGGATTATGTTTACCATTCCCAGTCGTGGGTGGTTTATGGCATTGTTTTATACCTGGAAAAAAAAACACCAGGGCTCTGCCTCAGGAGACTACGTGGACTACTTGAAGAGCCACGACCTGCCGCTGTTGGCCCCCAAATTTGCGACCTCTTCGGCGCTGCCTTACGACGCCCGGGAACGATGACGTCCTGGTGTCGTCAACGAAGATAGAGCCAAGTAGGGGTATATAGCAGGGGGATCTGAGAAATCAATGATGTATGCTATACCATTATTTAATGGATGATGTTGAATCAATGATATGAAGATTATGAAGTCAATGTAATTAAATCGTGCCGTTTATGGTTGAACGCAAGCTGGGTTTTGAGCCGTAAAACTATGCTTGTTTATTCATCTTGTATGGCCTCATTGGTGTGTTATGGTGTGTTGAATCCAGATGAGAACTACTTTGGAAGACAGGCATGTGCTGGCCTAGTTTATCTCTACTCCTCGTAAGATCTCGTAAGATGTCGCACAATATGTTAGTTGTTGCACAAAGCGAAATGTTATTGGTGTGCGTTTTCATCAGTGGATCCCCCAAACAAGTTTTGGGACTTCAGAAACTTTGCAAGAGCAAACACAATCGAAATTGTTCACCAAACAGAAAAACACTTGGTGTTCCGATCAAAACGACTTCGTAGCCACTCAGTTTCTTCTTGTAATGTTGGCCAGTTGGGCTCTCAAATGTTCCCTCCTGAAGCATCAAAAATGAGCAAGAACATCTGAGCATGGTTTACTGGTTGGTGGTTTGGAACATTTTTTCCATATAGTGGGAATAATCATCCCAACTGACTTTCATATTTTTCAGAGGGGTTGAAACATGTTGAAACCAGCAACCAGTTTAAACTTGATCCTTTTGGGGGTGTGAAATCATACCCACATGATCCCAGGCTTGATCATTTTGACCCCCAGAGATGTCTCTTTTCTGATCTCATCCTCTCCTTCGCCTAGGATGATACGGCTGCCTGGGATGCTGTAACGCTGCAACCTTTGAAGGATTCCTTTGTGGCTGGTGATGCCACCTTCTCCGCCCGCCGGATGTTCGAAATGATGGTTTGGAGATGTTTGGAGGTCGGATTTTTACCATCAGGATCCAAGAAATCCAGGGATGAGTGCGGTTGTAACCACAAAATATGGGAGTTTGAGGAGTTTGAGGAGTTTGAAGAACGCTGCTATTTCTTTTCGGAGAGTTGGTGCCCACTTTTTGGGGATGCCTAGATTTTACATCCAACAGCTGAAAGGGCTAATAGTATCCCGCGAACAAGGTTCCAACTTACTGTAGGTCGATGGTGGTTAAGAACCCATTGACAAGGACTTCCTGTTGTGAGGGTCCCTGATTGGTGGGAACCGCATAAATCTGTTGTGGGGAGGCAGAGTTTGCTGCCAGAAAAGAGCGGGAAAATTCGTCTACAGATGAAAGGGTTAAGGAAAAGGACTTGAAGGGCTTAAGCCCTTTAGCATTTGTCACTTGTGGACAATTCCACTTGTAGTACAGCTTTCAGCCGAAACACGCATCACGATTTTGAAGTTAACAGAAAACGCCAAGGACGTGCCCTTGTATCCCATTCTGCCCTGTGAAACTCCCCACACCTCAGTGCCTGGGCCTCCCGAAGTGAAGATGGTGGAGTGATGGGTCAAAAGTCATCACTTTTTGCTAAGGGGTTAAGGGGGACCATGATTTCATGGTTATTTCATGTTATTTCATGGGAATATGATGGGAATATAATTCATATTTCATGGGAATATGATGATTTCATGATGGGAATCTTGGATATAAAACCAACTTACCCTCTGGTAAACTTACAAAAAGCTATTGAAAATGGCCCAGTCGAAATAGTGGATTTTCCCATTAATAGCATGGTGGATCTTTCCATAGTTTTTTGTTAATGTTTACCAGAGGGTAACCACTATTGTCATCCCCGACCTTGGATGGGCCATCAAGATCGGACCAAAAGATTGACAAAAAACTGCGGTGCCCAGGGGAATTGGAAATCACCCATTGTGTTTTCAAGTTTTTTTTTTGTGATGTCAAGTGATAGGTGTTTCCCCACTGTGTTTTTTGTGCGAGATGAAGTGGGATTCAAATGTTCCATGTTTTCTCCTGAGGTACCACTCCGGTGAATAACCACAAGTTGCAGAAAGAAATAGCATCGTTCACAGAAATGACGGAATGTGATAAGCCCAATAATTAACATTAATTAATTAACCAGTCATCTGGAAAAGGATTATTCCAGCCATTTCTGGTTATTTGGGGGGTGGTTTGTCATGGGGTTTACCACATTGTTTGATGTTTGGATGCACCGCAACGACCCCAAGGAGTTGGTTAGCAGGGAGGATCCGCTGTATGAGATCTTGCAGAGCACGGTCTATGACGCGGTGCTGGAACGTGCCGAACTCATTTTGGGAGGAGTCAATGACGGTGTGAAGATGTGAGCGACAATAGGTTTGCAACCGAATGTGTAAAGTACACTGCTGTGTGTGTGTAGATTCATGTATATAATTCAAGTACATACAATAGATATGTAATTATTGTACATAATGCTGTATATAGACATGTTTATCCACACTTTCAGGAAACCTCTTGTTCATTTTTCAAAGGTTGTGCTGTGTGTTGGCGTCCACGACTTGCCATGGTGAACGCTTCCCTGCCGGTGAGCACCGCTGAGGATATGCCATTGGTCCCAAAAGTCCTCGCGCGGAGGAAGCACATCTTGAGGCAGCTCGGTGGTCAAACCTGGGAAATCCTAGAAAACTAAGGCCACAATGGGAAACACATCGGTTTGTCAACAGGTGATTCCCCGTTGTAATGCTTGATTGCTGGTTAACGTTTTTTGTTGGTAAAAACATGTAGAAACCTTGTATCACGCGAGAGGAACCAAATTGTGTGTGTGTGTTTCTCAACTTTAATACTCTTTCTGAAGGGTTCTTGGTTATCGCGGGGTTTTTAGGACATATGGTTTGGAAGAAGAATTCATCGGATGAAAAAAAGTACAAGAGGGTTCTTAGATTCCACTCCTACAGCCACATTAACCAATCAAAGTGTGGGATAAAAAAGGTTTTGCAATTATATATAGTTAATATAATCATATTATTATCGGTTATACTGACAAAATGAGGATACACATGGGAAATTAGACCATATTAATTAGCTGAAACAGAAAATCGCCAGGAATCACAGGAATCGGGGCTCCATGGCTGAAGTACCACAAGATTGATCCTGACACTGACAACGACTGTCGATGTTTTTTTTTCCATGCTGTTCTTGGTTTGGTGTAATCCATTGTAATCCGTTCACGGACGCCAAGGTTGAAACTAATGGGGCTCGGATAACGGCCAGGATCAGAATCTGTTGTCGATTTATCTCAGTTTCCAAGTGACTTTATGACATCAATGAGCCCCCAAGGTGCGCCCCATGAATAAGGAACCCAAAGTGCTGCATTAATATTGAGTCCACCAAGTATTGTTGGTTTGCACTTTGACTTGACTGGGGTTGCCTGCCTCAGTTTCGCCATATCAACACCAGCAGCAGCATGATCAGTGGATCCTTCCATGAAGACAGCTCTGAGCAGAGCTGGGCCTCCAAAATCCCTCGACCACCAGTTCAGATGCTCGGAGTTAGGTCGCTGGGGTCGTCAGGTATCACCTTGGAATTTGTAGTGGCACGGCAAGTGCCGACCCAAAAGTTATGTTTACATAGTTGATTTTTAAAGTTATATATGACATTATATGACCTGTTTATTGCTTTTGGGGTTGGGATTTGCAGGCAGCCAGCCTTCGTCCGATAGCCAGTTCGCAGTAGGTTCGACTCAGGATGGTGGCGCAACCACAGAACTTCCGCCGTGGCAAATTCCAGGCAGCTGATGGGGCTGAAGCCGGGTGAAGGCACTAGGAACCTCCAGGAAATCACGGAACTAGAATGGATCCGTACCAAAATCATCCAAAATCCAGTGAAACATGTGAAACATACCGTGATCAACTGGTTGGTGGTTTGGAACATGTTTTTTCTCCATATATTGGGAATTTCATAACCCCAACTGACTTTCATATTTTTCAGAGGGGTAGGTATACCACCAACCAGTCAAGGATGTCAAAGTTTAAGGATACTGCGGCTGAAGTCCTAAAAGGCACGAAATGTGTAGAGACCCATTGCACCAGGCGGGCAGTCGACCCTTTGAGCCCCACGGTCATAAGACCTTGCGACGGATGTGGGGTGTGGCTGAGCCTATGGGAGAAAGTCGGCGAGTAGCTTGGCATACAGAACCAGCTTTGCTGGCACGATATCCTGTAGCTGCGGTGGGTTGCAAAGGATATCACTGGAATCAACTTGAATCAACTTTGAAAATATTGTTGGACCTTTTTGCTAATGGTTCGAAGGTGCGTGCAGATTGAAATTATACACCTTTCCCATGGGATCTCGGTACAGCCAGCAGCCAGGCCTTTTTCATGTCACACACAGCGGTCCAGGCAGCCTTTGTCAAGAAGCAGCCTACGCGAGCGAGTCAGATGGAAATTGTTCCCGAGAACGTGCCGGAGGCAATGTCCCCGTGAAGTTGAGACAGAATGCCGTGTTTTGGTGATCATGATCCACTGGCACACTGGTATCCACTGGCACTGTTGACAAAATCCAGTCATGTGAATGCCTCGAGCTTGATACACAAATTACATGACGGTTATATAAGTCTCAGAGTCTCAGATCTTTAGGCGTGCCCCTGTTTTTGGAGAAAAGATGTGCAGATCACCTGCAACAAGGCATTCCAACCTTGGACCGCTTCCAAATTGCCATCCCATGTAGGGGTATTCACACAATGATAAGATATACTGATATACTGTAACAAAAATATACAAAAATTAACAAAACACAAAATTGTGGATGTTTTATGAGATTTGGTTTCCCTGCAGTCTCATGATTTTCACTATCACAACAGCATCACAGCAATAGCTATCATTATTATGGATGGCCCAGTATTTGGGAGCAGGTCCAAGCTAGCTAGGATCAACCGAACAGACCGGAAGAGACACCTTGCAGCGTCCAGCGCATAGCATCGGTTCAGCCGACGCCTAAAGATGGTCGCTGTGGTGCCTTCCTGCAGCTTGCAGCACTCTGCCACCAAATGTCACCAATGGCCACAGGTGTGGCGTTCTAGTGGGGCACAGATGCATGGATACGGCACCATTATCCACCCAGTGCTATGTTCAGCCTATTACTGGTGATAAGGTAGATCCCGCTCTCATTAACCTTAGGAAGCACCACACTGCAATATCTGGCTGGTGGTTTAACATATAGATACATATACGACGTAGTCTTAACTTCCAATCATGTGTTTTTTTTGGAAACAAAACCAAATTGTGGGTTGTAAATGCCGCTGGTAAACTTTAATGTTCGAAGTTATGGGAATATGTCTAGCCTTCTCAAGTAACGACCTAACGATGCGCAACAGGGGATGATGGGGACAAGTCTTGGTGTTCTCCTGTTTCCAAGACCCAATCCATTCAGCCTGATGTCACTGATCCATTTTGTGGCGTCCACGTCTACCATCTCACATCATGCCCAACTTGAACGCCAACCAGTGGTTTGGCGCAGTCGCAAGGACTGGTGATTTGGGGATTTGGGGAGATATTGCTGTGCTTCTGGATTATATGTTGGACCACAAAACGTTCAATTAGATGATTTGAAAGTATAACTGACTAGTCTACCTTGATCTACCTTGGTGAATGTATATAACTATTGTATAACTAATCTAAGTAAACTTAAACAGTTTAGATGTTTAAGTTGTATTGAATTCTTAGAGCTCGATCCCAAACAGCTCTTTGTTGGGCTGCGAGATTTGGCTTCACCCATAGAGTCATAGCTGCTAGCACTGATGATGGAGGTCAGCACAGCAGAGAGTGAAAGAGCAACTTCAACACTGGTGTCTCCATAAAAGGCATCACATCTGGCCCCCAAACCCTGATTGATGTTATTCTCTGCAATGCTTGTAGCATTCTGAGCCAAGATTTCCAGTTTTGTCACCAGCGAAACGCACAGTCCTTCTTGCTGATGTTAATGCCTCAAGGCAGTGACAGTTTAGGTACCAGAGTCGAGCGCCAGCATCCATCACGGGCATCTGTTTGACGAAAATGCAGCTTCTTCACAATAGATATCCCAACAAAATCCAATGCAACATGATCCAATATATACCCAACCTTTTCCCCACATGGATCCTGACGCCTTGCACAAAACATCGGCGCTGCCAACAGCGGTGCCGAAGTGTACAGCTGGCTGAAGAGCTGTCTTTACCCTCTGGGTTTGGGTTGGCTGCTGCGGGTCCTCCCCGTCTTCCCCGCTGAAACTTTGGAGATGGGTGTGTCTGAAATCGGGGAACAACCACCAAATGGCCAATAAATTGTGAATTCTAAAGGGACAATTTGAAGTAGCCCAGCCCAAAAGAATGGAATATGAATATGTTCAGTCAAAGCCATTTGGGTATTTTGGTCGCTTCACAGCGATCGGGATGAGTCCAAAGACCTAGATGACCCTGGGTTTGTCGTCACTTTCCCTATCATGACATCATGTTTGATAGGTAAAATTGCTACTTTGCAGAGGGGAACCATTAAAAACATCTCATTTTGGGTTAGCGTACCCTATTTTGAGACAGATCCAGCTCTTGTGGATCCCTTGTGGACTTCACTTTTGAACTCACTTGCCATGGTCCGAGATCCAACTCCCAAAGTGAATCATTGCACATACTGGTATTTAACTATATTTAAATTATGTTATTATTATTTGGAAATCCAATCTGAAGTCCAGAACTGCCATTCCAATGATCAACTGCCAGTCTCCTTTGCCCCTTGACACTCTGTTACTGGACGGTCCGTCACCCATGGCAGTGCCCAGATCCAGCCTAGATTCGCTCCTCGGTGATCGAAATGATCGCCATGTGGAACGAAGGAAAAGATGACTGGTGCCGTCCTGGTAGACTGCTTCTTTTTGTGGTGGTTACTGGATTGTCTATACAAGTGTGATGCATATATAATCATAGATATAATATGTAATATTTGTATTAGTATATATATATATGTATGATATATATATATTATACCCCCAAGTGGTAAATTTCAATAGGGAAATTAAATTGATGATGAAGCACCGGATTTGGGGAAACAAAAGGCGGTCAGGAGCATCAAATATACTGTCGACCCCCTGGCTGTTTTGACCAGTTTATAGGTTTGCTAGCTTAAACTATCAGTATCTCTGGGGAATCTCAGATTAATGAAGCAAGGTTTATAAATCCAGGCTTAATCATTAATAAGTATTCCTCATGTTGATTTTTTCAGCTGCCCAATATGTCAGAGGAAAAAAGCTGGATCAGTTCACTGATGGAGGCATTGTATGATCCCAATGTTTGGTGACACGGTACTTTTTGGTGATCCATAGCAGAACGGGTACTGGGAATTCCCCATTAGATGACACCGCAGCCTGGCAGTCCGCGCTGAACTCGTGTGCAGAATGAAAGAGACCACCTGGTGGAACATCGCCAGAGTCTATCAGAAGCTCCAAGTTTGACAAGAGATTTCTCCCACATTGAACATCAATTAACATCATATGTGTATATAAATATATATATATATGTATATATCATGAATATCATGTCATCCGATTTTTTCCAGAGTCAGGTTGTTTTTTATCATCGCCATGGCGGATCAGAAGGAGAAGCAGATCCAAGAGGAGCACGGTTTTTTTTTGGGCGTTCCAACGAAACTGAGTGCATGTTGGTTAACACTGTACCACCTAAACACATTGAAAACAAGTGGTTTTTTTAACATCAGGTTTATGGTTGTTAATATTGGTGAATGCCAATGATGTAGTAGCCTATGTTGGATAGTAGCCAGCTTCCAATGCTTCCAGGCGAAAGCATTGCAGAAGTCCTTGGAGGAAATCAGCACTCAGTGCCACTGGCTTGTTTGAAATGTGTTTATCTGGTTGGTGGTTTTAACCTACTATTGGTTGGTAATATCATGTTAATATATGGTTAATATTAATGGTTTTATATGAGGGCTAGAAATTTGACCTTCAACAGATGGCTGAAGAATAGGCTACCGTTTTAGATTCTCCACATTTCAAATTACTGAGTAGTAAGCCAACCATTTGAGGCATCAATAGTTCAACTTATGCCCACATCCGAAAGTTGCTTCGGAGTTCCATTTGTTGATACTTGAAATTGTCTGAAAATATAGTATATGATATATATATATAAACCCTCCAAATAGCAATATCACTGGGAAAATGATCAGAATCCTTTTTGAATCGGGGGCCCCGGGGGTATCCTATTTTCAGACAAAGCCAATGTTGGCTACATCTCTTCGAACTGCAAGTGGAGATTTCAAACTCATCTGGCAGGAGAGAAGCTGTGCAGTCTGGATCCTGAGATTTTTTGGGGAAGGTTTGGGTTATCCAGTTCTATCCCCATTCCCCACGTTTCTTCTCATTGAAGCCTCCGTTTTAGGGAATTCCCAGCTAGCCATGTTTGATTACCGAAGGGTGCCTGAGATTGCCAAGGGAAGAGCTGCAAAAGATGAAAGCGGAGCTTGCTGAACATCAAGAGCAGGTGCTGTTCACAGGTGGGTCTTTGTAAGACGATGGAAGAAGAGAGAAGGATCATCCTATCAATATCTGGTGATCATTTGCAGGACTGATATCATCATGAAAACATATTAACAAGAGCAGGTGAGGATGTATAGTACCCAGAGCACATATTATATTAATGTTCACAGATTTAGTATGGACATGTATGAACGTGTACAAATATGTTTCTCTGTCAAATCCTGAAATAGTTGCCTCTCAGTCATTTCCACCCACCCACAGAGGTGTAGATGTGAATGCTTGCAGCTGCATATGCCAAAAAACACTACGGGTCGCAAACACTTTTTGTGTTGTACGGTCTCGTACGGGGACACTATGGTCCGTTTATATCAGATTGTCAGAGAGCTTCGCCATCCCTCAGTTGATTCTACAAAATCCGCTGTAGATCTGCACTTGGTACCAGCTCTAGTTGCTGGTTTCAAAATGCGTCAATCATGTTCTAGTTGGCATTTTTCAAGCCTTTCTTAACGATTCATAACCTGCATCTGGGATGATGATTCCAACTCTAAAATGTTTCGGGCTGGGTTCCCGATGGTTCCGGTCCCGTCGCGGCAGCAGTGACTCCAAGGCCACGCAACTTCAAGGTCGTTTGACCACCATCGACTCGGAGATGGCTCAAAAGAGCCCCTTGGTGGCAGGTTAGGGTCAGGGTTTAGCGCAGTTTAGGGTCATAGTGGCTGGATGTGGCTGGTATTTGATGGTCGTTGGCAATCAAACTACCACTGATGTGTAATATTGGATCGATACTGATGTTGATATGGGATATCTGCAGGATTCATACAACATATACACCATATACGAGGAGATTGTCACCATATCTGACTCAAAAGCAGTATCAACATTGCATGGGGATTTCCACCAGGATCTGTACCACCTAGCTTGTCAGCTGACAGTTGTTCATGGCATTGGTTGTACTGTTGTACTTGCAAAGCTGGTGCTGCATTTGTTAATCCTCCAATCTATGTCGGCCTTGTAGATGAATGTAGGGCTGGCTGATTATTTTACGTGTTGTTCACATGACTCATGAGTCTTGCAGGCTCACAAGTGTGTCCACTGGTAAGGGTAGAAGAGTCAAAGATGCATTCCCTGGAAATGCTAAAAGCTCATGGGGACTCAGCCAAGCTGCTGGTAGTTCCGCAGTATGTTGGCTTTCTTGTGCAACCACAACGACAATGAGGATGGTCTCAAGTCTTGAGTGAGGATTCTTTGCTTCATCAAGATCAGCCCCTTTTTTGTCAAGATCAGCTGATCAGCTCCTTTGTTTGTGAGTTGCTGGCTGTTCGTTTCGATTTGGATTCAGCGGATACAGAATGGGCAAGCACAGTATCCGTAGCATCCACAAAGCTCAAGCAGAGTATGTCTTGACCTCCCTGTGGACTTGTCACATAGTGATTATGCCACATGTTCTCCCAGGTTGGGTGAGAAAAAATCAGAAGGTCATGTGCAACTTGAAGATCTTGAAGCATTGGGTTCCAAACATGATTTGGCTATATTTGGCTATATTTGGCTATAGATCTATAGTATCTATATCTGGCTATACTTTTCGATTGGCCTATTTTCATATAGACAACTGTTGGCTTCCCCATCCCCCAGGCGCCTTGCTGAAGACTATCCAGGCGGAGATGTGGGGAACCTCATCGGGTTATATCTGGTTGGTGCTTTGGAACATGTTTTTTCCATATATTGGGAATTTTCATCTCAACTGACGAACTCCATCATTTTTCACTGGGGTAGGTATACCACCAACCAGTAATTAGATATAATATGATATAATTATCTATAAAGAATTCTGGATATACTGTTCAATCATGTTGAGAGAGGTTTTGCAGTGGATGTCATCGACTTGAAATGAGCATGGAACATCATAGAACCATATGGAAGTCGGGCTCGATGTGTCCAAACTTGGTCAGGGCAGGTCAGCTTGGCTCAGTCTGCCATCACCGGAACTTGTCCCAAGTGTCCAAGCAGAGCGGCTAGTGATGGCCATGGTTCAGCAAGAAATTTTACAGAGAAAACCACAACCCTTATCACCAAAAAGTTGTGAACGTTGAGGTTCCTGTAGAATTGTGTGTTCATTTTTGATTAAAAGCAATTTGCGAATTGCTATACTTGCGAAGGCAATGGCTGTGATAGCCTTTTGGCCTTTATCTTCCCACAAAACGAAGGGAGGTTTCGAATGGTGTGTCGGCCATGTGGCAATCAACAGTTGTGGCACCCAGGTACAAAGCGGAGAATGAGTACATGGCTTGCCTTGAGGCAGGATTTCATTTGGTCAGAATGCCTCTGCTGTTCGAACGTTGGAAGGGCTCTGAGGTTCTTGTTGGGTTTTTCTTGGATTTCATAGCACACAGGCTCCGACAAAGGCACCTATGTAGCTAAGTGGGGGTTGGGAATTCAGATAGATACATTGTGATAGACCCACATCCACTTGCTCATCCTTTATAGAGCTCCGACACAGATTCCCAGCGCCAGGCACAGCCTTCCTTGGTGCATGTGATGAAGCATCCTGGCACAGACAGAGATTGAAAACGTTGGGCCTAATCTCAGAAACAAAGGTTGTAAGTTTTTGTGTATGTGTGTGTATATTTTTCATTATATACATACATACATACATACATACATACATACATACATACTATATTATATTATATTATATTATATTATATATATGTAATTATTTATCTATCTCTAACCAGCATGATTAGATAGTAACCCTCTGATGGCATCCCCTTGATTTAACTTGTCTTCTCCTCCCTGCTTCATCGCCATGATCTCAGGCAGATGTAATGCCGCTGGCTGTGATCGGTTTGAAGTGAAGAATTCATCCGAAGAAAAGTGGCCGAGGAGTTTCCCCTTTTTGGTGCAGAATTCAATGGATATTTGAGGAAAAGTCGAAACCGGAAACCATGGTTTTTCCATGAAATCTAGGGGGTCCAGTGGTTTCCTTAAACCAATCCATTGAACAATTAAGTCTGGTTGATGTGCAGCACATCTTCCCAAGAAACAGGATGATTCGGTGGAGGCAACGAGTGAATGACTTTGTTCTCCAGATATTTTGGTGCACGACCCTAGGACACATGCAGTGTAAGGTTGATTCTCTTGAATTGGGATTCAATCCGAGGGTCCCAAGAGAAATATATGCGACAATTTGCCAAAATGGAGCTTCACCTAAGATGCGCAATGATGCGCATAGGATCTTCCTTGGGTCCCCTTGTTCATGATTGATCCACTTGCTCACCAGTACACAGCTTCTTGGCTTTGCATCATGCCATTTGGCTCACTAGTGGCCGGGTCCACCCTACGGCCTCCGAGCCGGCCCCTGCTGGGAGCCCCAGAAACATTGACCGCACAGGAGGGCTCTTGAAACGGGGATCTCCGTGCTGTCCGAGTTAATGTCACGTTTTTACAGCGAAACCAATAGTTTGGGGGTACCCTGAAACATCCAGAATTGTTTTTTAACATTAAGTGTACACTTGGATCCACTGCGTTTGGGCCCACGGAAGTGCAAACGTCGTGTTTCTTGCATATTTGTTTAGTGCTGATCCATATTGCACTATGTATCTGGGAAGAACTGTATGTCTTCAGCCAGTTGTCATGATAGGCTAAGAGTGTTCTGGGTTGCTGGATGCTTGAACTTCCAGCTTGCATCAAGCCATATGGGGTTTCCTCAAATGTGTGTACCTCCAAATCATCCTAATTTTCATATGATTTTCCATGAAATAAACCATCCAGCTATTGGGGATTTCCCATTTATGGAAACCCCCATTGAACAGCCATGGAACAGCCCGGCCACTTGGCGCCACTGGCCTGTCACCAACATCCTCAGGATTCACGTTGTCTTCTGTCAACTACTTGCCGTACGGGCCACGGATGGCGCACAAAAACCAGCCGAGCTTCAGATTCAATGGCACAATGATGGTTGAATTAGTCGATATTCAGATATGACTTTCATGTATTGAATTAAAACAAAAACAATAGTTCGGATGTTTTCTGTAACTTGGGAATCCAAGAGCCAGTTTGATGATGTTTGTTAATGATGTTTGCAAGCAGATGTTGTTTTTGCAAAGTGTATCTACCAGGCTACTGCTTTACCAATGATTTCAGTATGTTAACTGTATAAATCTTGCGGTGATAGCATACGGAATACCTACCAATGTTGGAATTCGAATACAGGAAGACCTTTTCTGAATCAACACCAAGCAGGGAGCTCACAGCCAAACCCAAAACATGTTCAAACTGTGATGGCGAGATACCGAAGCTGACCAGAATCAACTCCAGGTCCTATCCCTAGGGGTTGATGATTAGAGAATGAAATAAAACATGGGTGCATAGCTGGTTTATATATTGGGATAAACGAGATGTGAATATCACAACAATTAATTAATCATAATCCAATATTCAGAACCGGTATCAACTAACCAGTTTTGGGGTGCCAACAAAAATCCACCCAGGAAAAGCCACAACGAAACGCCCAGGCGGTGATGATATGCCGCAGATCTTTGTTCTGCCGGCGATGTCTTGGCACCGTGCCACGGTGTGATAGCTGTTCTCAGCTGGGATCAAGATGCAAAGTGGGGCCCCCTAGATACCCTCTGGTAATTTAACGTAGCTATTGAAAATGGCCATTTATAGCGAGTTTTCCCATTAAAAATGGTGATTTTCCATAGCTATGTTAGTTTACCAGAGGGTAGCTAAGTTGGTTAATACCTGCAAAAATAACTTATGGTTTATGGTACTTATAACATCTTATAACTATAGTTCCTGGGGATTATAAACCAACAAACACCACTGGGGGGCCCCACATTGTGGGATCTCCCTGTTGAAAATTCTTCGTTGTGATGGGATTGCAGGATTACTCAGGATTACATGACGCCATGTCCATTCCCTTGGTTATCACATGTTCTCACCCAGCTGTTCCTGTTCATGTGCTTCCAGTTTGTGTCCCGTTTATTCCCCCTGTTCTCCGCGATGATTCCCCACAATGCTAGATGACTTCAACGGCATATTTTTGCTCCTTCTTTCCACCAGGTGGCAGGGTCAAGGATGCACGCAGTGGAACCCAAAATTAAGGTCCCAAAGATACTCGCAACTAAGAACTAGATGGCCCGCAAGGGACTAATGTTTTTGTTCAAATCCTCACCTGTGAGCCCAAACTCTACCTTCATCTCGCTCTCAAGTGTGCCAGGAGCTAAGCTTAGCCAATCTTCTGCCGCCGGCGTCAATTCAGCTGCAGTTGGTGGAGGGTTTCAAGCAAAATGCAAAAACCGGCCAAAATAAGGACTCGCAAGCACAAATTATATAATGCCAGCCTGCACAAGGATTTGTTGGTCATAGGGGATGTGAATACCGTTTGGATTGTTGACTCCTTCAGACAGTTTTTTGGTATGGTGTTTCGTCTTTTGAGGACGCGCTGTTCCCCCCTACTGCACCAGCACTGGGTTTGTTTGGCAAACGGGATTTCCGATGGCAGATCTTCCCATGGCAGATCCGCCCACAATGATCACTAGGGAAAGTGCCTCCAGGTTACCCAGAGAGAGCGGTGGTCAAGAGGGTTGACAGGACCCATACAAGAAGACATCAAGACTTAATCCCATTGACAAGGGTTTGGACCATGGCGCATATTGTGGTGTCAACCCCGGATTAATAAACCTGACTGACTGATTGGAGGCGTTACCCCAAATCCAGTCATAATTTGCTACTAATATGATACCAACCACTGAAACAGCCCAGGGGATTACCAATTCAGGGTTAACATTGCTGAGGTAAATATCTTCTGCAAGAATCAAAATCGTTCCAGGCTCCAGGAAAGTGGAAAGAGCTGACTCTGGGTTTTTCTCTGTGATAATTTCCCAGAATCATTGGAACCAGCTCTACCCGCTGCGTATATTATTCAGCCTTGAGTCAAGCTGTAAGGACTTTGCTGACATTGGTGTCCGGCATTTGGTCCTTGTACTTCTTTTTGCTGGGCGGCCCAGTTCGTTCGCAAAGATTAAGCGGGAGAAAAGATGGCGTGTGTTCCAGTTGTTCCATTATGTGTTTTTGTTTTTTTTCGAACACTCCTCAGGGAACATTGCTCAAGGTGACCTTTACAGATGATTGCATCATTGAATCACTGAAAGGATATTTGGTTGAATGATGGAGTTATTGGATGGTTAAGCTATTAATCAGGTGCCTATATGATTGACTGCATGGCCCGATGCTTTGATGTTCTGATTGATTTGATGATTTGATGAGTCCATCGTCATCGTCATCATCATCACCAACATGATGCTGAATGATGTCATGTTTCATGATACTGATGAAGATGCTGCTGATCTGGGCACTGACTGACTTTTGGACATCGACCTGGGGCGGGAAAGTGCGAAGGGCAAGCAGGTGATCAGGTGATACCTGCTTGATTGCTTGCCATTTTTGAAACCTTGCAAACTATGGGTTCTTGGAAATCAAACACTATCCAACAATCTGGAAATAGAAGAGAAATAGTAGGGAAACAATAGGAAAACAATAGGGCAATAGTAGGCGGGGAATAATAGGAAAATAATGAGAAAATAATAGGGAAAAATAGGAACATAATAGGAAAATAATGGGGAAATAATGAGGAAACAATAGGGAAATCACATGGAAACAATAGGGAAATAGCATGGAAATAATAGGGAAATAATAGGGAAATTATAGGGAAATTTCATGGAAATAATATGGAAGCAATAGGGAAATAATAAGGAATTAGTAGGGAAATCATAGGGAAATAATAGGGAAATAACATGGAAGAAATAGGGAAATAGATAGGGAAATAATAGTGAAATGATAGGGAAATAATAGGAAATTAATAAGGAAATAATATGGAAATAGTAGGGAAACATAGGAAAATAATAGGGAAAAAACATGGAAGAAATAGGGAAATAAATAAGGAAAAAATAGTGAAATGATAGGGAAATAATAGGCAATTAATAGGGGAATAATAGGGAAATAAATAGGGAAATAAATAGGGAAATAAAATGAAATATGTAGGGAGGTAATAGTGAAATGACAGGGAAATAATAGGAAATTCATAGGGAAATAATAGGGAATTAGAAGGGAAATCATAGGGAAATAATAGGGTAATAATATCGAAGAAATATGGAAATAATAATGAAATTAGGGAAATAATAGGAAATTAATAGGGAAATAATAGGAAATTACGAGGGAAATAGTAGGGAAATCATAGGGAAATAATAGGGAAATAACATGGAAGAAATAAGGAAATAACATGGAAGAAATAAGGAAATAAATAGGGAAGAAATAGTGAAATGATAGGGAAATAATAGGAAATTAATAGGGAATTAATAGGGAAATAAATAGGGAACTAATAGAGAAAGACTAGGGAAAGAATAGGAAATTAATAGGGAATTAATAGAGAAAGAACAGGGAAAGAATAGGAAATTAATAGGGAAATTAATAGGGAATTAATAGAGAAAGAATATGGAATTAATAGGGAAATTAATAGGGAACTAATAGAGAAAGAATAGGGAAAGAATAGGAAATTAATAGGGATATTAATAGGGAATTAATAGAGAAAGAATAGGGAAATCATAGGGAAACAATAGGGAAATAACATGGAAGAAATGGGGAAATAAATAGGGAAGAAATAGTGAAATGATAGGGAAATCGTAGGAAATTAATAGGGAATTAATGGGGAAAGAATAGGGAAATAATAGGGAAATAATAGGGAAAGAATAAGGAATAATAGGGAAAGAATAGGGAATTAATAGGGGAAGAATAGGGAAATAATAGGGAAATAGTAGGAAATGAATAGGAAATTAATAGAGAAAGAATCAGGAAAGAATAGGAAATGAATA